CTATAAACTTGTTAAAACACAGAATGAGAGTCATCTGCTATGGTGTGTCGCGATTTACCACACCTAAGCATGTGTTACCTCGCCAGGCCCAAATCATGTGTTACCTGGTCACATACCTCTCTGGACACACCCAAATTCAATTACGTATGCTTGTTACCTGAACAACGCCCAGATCAATTCAAAACACAAAACCATCTTATCTGACCATTTTGATGTTACGAAGAGAAGCACTTGTATTTCTTTCTACTTCAAAACACTTGCAAAAAATTTTGAAAGAATGTGTATTTTGGCAGAGGCGATTAGTTTCTGAACTCTGTGCTGCAATGGCAAGACTTGAAACAACTCCTCTTTTGGCAGTCCGTCGAGTATGACTTTATTTTTCCCCGCTCGCGGACGTCCATCTTGTAGGGTTGAGCGCTTTGCATGACGCTTTAGTCTGGTTATAATAATGGGTGATAAGTCAATGTGCGAAAAAATGAGCACGTGGGGGAGCCACCCGGTCCCCTCACATGTTATCACTCCCGACCGACAATTTTCAATAATAAGAGCAAGAAGATTAAGTGGACTGTTTTAACTCTGTGTTTCGGAAAGTCGCAACCCCGGAAACGAAATAAAAAATAATGACTTCTTACATGTTTAGCATGTCAAATTCCTAAAAGCAACTAATTTTAGAATACGCCAGGACGGATATGAACTTTGTTCTCCTGGTGAGTGGGTTTAGAATTGACTCCTTCCCCGAAGAAACTCATTCTACGTGGAATTTTTACTGGTTCACAATCACCATTAAAAACGATCCAAAATTCCAGTTCACTTGCTGCTTAAACTCGGGTAATGTGAAGTTTTTGTCTGTAAATGTACTTCCTATGTGTTGGTGTACTCCGGAAATGCTGACAGTTCAGCTTAATCTAGAAAATTCTGAGTCTTTCAGCACATACTAAAATGTCACACTGGAAACCAATAACATTTCAAATCGTAAACGAATTTGAGCTTATGGTATGTAAACAGTAGAAATCTTGGCACATTACAGCGTAGATTCGTCATCTCGTCATCTTGTGATTTCAATATCACCTAACCAGATAAAGCAGAATTACAGATTGTTCAAATCATCGACCGAAATGGCCGCCGTTCAAAAGCAGACATTGCCTTCGTTTTCTTCCATCATTTCTGTTTTGTCTATTGTGTTTTACTGCGCTTGGTTTATAAGGGTAGAACTGGAGATGAACGAGCAGAAGAACAGAATAAACGCTCTTGAAAACGTTGCAGAAGCCAAGCCGAAGTCAAACGACGCAGACATGAAAATCAAGAACGCTCCTGGTAAGTTGGTCTTCAGTAAGTACGAACTAGGAGTTACCATTATGTTTTTGCAACCACAACTTGGTCTTGATAGAAACTAAATTTATAAGCGACTAAACGTTCTGTAAAGAATACCGAACAAATATGGCCTGATTGCGTGTTGTCACACTTCTCACTGCTTCCTGTGTGCTGTGGCAAACAAACCCGGAGGTTAGCAGGTCGAGTTCTCTCAAACCAAGCGCAGACAGAAGAAAAGCAATCATTCGCACAAAATTGCCTATAATCGTATCAAATACGACTTAATGTTGTGTCGGTTGCGACAGATTTTCTGTATCAGGGTTTGTTACATGCATGTAAACTTAATTTGTCTCTAACATCAGTTTTCGCGGTCGTCTCAGTAGTTTAAAACAAACAGGATTATTTACCGGCCTTGCAGGTGGCGGTTTTAAAAAACGCATTCAAGAGGTTTTTGTTTCACTTCTAATGTTGAATAGCACATGGCTTTTTATGGTTTGCTCCCACGCTTTGGTAACTTAAAATGTAGGGTGTATTTTGTTTACTGAAGTACTATTTTTATTTGTTGCTAGAAATTCAAAACCTCTATAGAAACAGACGTCAAGCTGTATCAACTAAGAACACGACGGAAGCGAAAGACACTGCGGAAACCACCACCAAAATCAGCAAGCATCTTTTATCACAATGGAGAGCACACCTGTGTCAATCTAAGAGTGTCATGTGCTCATCAGGTCCGCCAGGCCCTCCCGGTCCATCTGGAAAAAAAGGAGCCCGGGGACGAAGAGGACAGAAAGGAAGAACTGGAAACAAGGGAGATCAAGGCATTATGGGATCGCCAGGAAAGAGCGGTAAGCAAGGCATTATGGGACCTGCGGGGTTAAAGGGAGAGCCTGGAACCAAAGGCGAGAAAGGAGACACAGGACCCACAGGCATGCCGGGAAGGAAAGGCGAGCCCGGTGAATCGATATCATCTCCTGCTGTTGTTGTGTCTCCGGTGACGTTGAGAGTGAACGAAGGTGGATCAGCCTCGTTTCAGTGTTTAGCCAGCGGTAATCCTGAGCCTGCAGTAGCGTGGAGTAAACTGAACAATCAGTCAGAAATCATTCAGTCAGCGGTTTCAGGAGGAAAGTTGCAATTAAAGCACGTGACCGGAAGTGATGCAGGATTGTATCAGTGTTCAGCAACAAACATCCTGGGGAATTCACGGGAAGTAGTGCGATTAACAGTAAACGGTAAGCTTGTG